CCCCTGGTAACACACAGAGAGCAGGGGTTTGGAGTAAGTAATGCAGAAAGCACAGGGCGTCAGGTGTCAGGGTCAGGAGTCAGTTATACACAGAGTGCAGAGGTCAGGAGTCAGTTATACACAGAGTGCAGAGGTCAGGAGTCAGTTATACACAGAGTGCAGAGGTCAGGGTCAGTTTATACACAGAGTGCAGAGGTCAGGAGTCAGTTATACACAGAGTGCAGAGGTCAGGAGTCAGTTATACACAGAGTGCAGAGGTCAGGAGTCAGTTATACACAGAGTGCAGAGGTCAGGAGTAAGTCATCAGGACACAGAGTGCAGAGGTCAGGAGTCAGTTATACACAGAGTGCAGAGGTCAGGAGTCAGTTATACACAGAGTGCAGAGGTCAGGAGTCAGTTATACACAGAGTGCAGAGGTCAGGGGTCAGTTATACACAGAGTGCAGAGGTCAGGGGTCAGTTATACACAGAGTGCAGAGGTCAGGAGTAAGTCATACACAGAGTGCAGAGGTCAGGAGTCAGTTATCAGTTATACACAGAGTGCAGAGGTCAGGAGTCAGTTATACACAGAGTGCAGAGGTCAGGAGTCAGTTATACACAGAGTGCAGAGGTCAGGGGTCAGTTATACACAGAGTGCAGAGGTCAGGGTGCAGAGGTCAGGGTTATACACAGAGTGCAGAGGTCAGGAGTCAGTTATACACAGAGTGCAGAGGTCAGGAGTAGAGTCATATACACAGAGTGCAGAGGTCAGGAGTCAGTTATACACAGAGTGCAGAGGTCAGGAGTCAGTTATACACAGAGTGCAGAGGTCAGGAGTCAGTTATACACAGAGTGCAGAGGTCAGGGGTCAGTTATACACAGAGTGCAGAGGTCAGGGGTCAGTTATACACAGAGTGCAGAGGTCAGGGGTCAGTTATACACAGAGTGCAGAGGTCAGGAGTCAGTTATACACAGAGTGCAGAGGTCAGGAGTCAGTTATACACAGAGTGCAGAGGTCAGGAGTCAGTTATACACAGAGTGCAGAGGTCAGGAGTAAGTCATACACAGAGTGCAGAGGTCAGGAGTCAGTTATACACAGAGTGCAGAGGTCAGGAGTCAGTTATACACAGAGTGCAGAGGTCAGGAGTAAGTCATACACAGAGTGCAGAGGTCAGGAGTCAGTTATACACAGAGTGCAGAGGTCAGGAGTCAGTTATACACAGAGTGCAGAGGTCAGGAGTCAGTTATACACAGAGTGCAGAGGTCAGGGGTCAGTTATACACAGAGTGCAGAGGTCAGGGGTCAGTTATACACAGAGTGCAGAGGTCAGGAGTAAGTCATACACAGAGTGCAGAGGTCAGGAGTCAGTTATACACAGAGTGCAGAGGTCAGGAGTCAGTTATACACAGAGTGCAGAGGTCAGGAGTCAGTTATACACAGAGTGCAGAGGTCAGGGGTCAGTTATACACAGAGTGCAGAGGTCAGGGGTCAGTTATACACAGAGTGCAGAGGTCAGGAGTCAGTTATACACAGAGTGTAGAGGTCAGGAGTCAGTTATACACAGAGTGCAGAGGTCAGGAGTCAGTTATACACAGAGTGCAGAGGTCAGCAGTCAGTTATACACAGAGTGCAGAGGTCAGGAGTAAGTCATACACAGAGTGCAGAGGTCAGGAGTCAGTTATACACAGAGTGCAGAGGTCAAGAATTTAGCATCATAGTGAAAGCAATAAAGTTCAGGGCAGACACTGGAGTCTCTGTGTGAACAGAAGGGGAAAGCATTCAGCTCAGAATGTATGTTTGCCACTCTGAGTAATCAGCATTGATGTTGTAAAAGCCTTTCACCTTTCTTTCTCTTCTCCCCCACAAGATGTTGTCTTTGCTGCTGTCAGGGCTTCTATCCAGGCCTGGTGGTGTATGTATTCAGAGCTAATATGCCCTACACAATAGGAAGCCCTCATAATGGGCACAGCAGGTGTACAGACCAGGGAACTCAGCACAGGGATGGTGAGAACCCTTCAAAATGGGCACAGCAGGTGTACAGACCCGAGAACTCAGCACAGGGATGGTGGGAACCCTTCATAATGGGCACAGCAGGTGTACACACCTGGGGATTCAGCACAGGGATGGTGGGAACCCCTCATAATGGGCACAGAAAGTGTACAGACCCGGGAACTCAGCACAGGGATGGTGGGAACCCCTTATGGGCAAAGTAGGAATTGGGGTGGATTGACACTTTAATTTTGTTATATTGTGTTCTCAGGACTTGGTTGGAAATACACAATAGGAACACCACGTGTACCCAGCCTAAGCCACTTACCACCTTTTTCAGCTCAGAACTTGGCCTTTCTCTTTTTATTCTACTGCCACTTAAATCCGCAGTTTTCCTGAAAAACAGAGAATTAAAGAAGTCATATGGCTGATACAGCATCTCAGATCACACACATTGTGGCATTGGTGGCTTGCAGTAGGTATGCTGCCATGACATGACTCCACATTTTGTTCTAGAACTGAATGACAGGCAGCTGAATACACACATATAATACATTTATGGGAGATGTTTTATCTGGCACATTTGTGTGTCTGTTCGTCCAGTCCTGCGATTTACACATGAACTAGTCCTGTTTTTTAGAGATGAGCTGCTAGTTCGGTGCAAACTCTGGTCTGGATGTTTCAGCAAGAACTAAATGGGAAGTGAAACATTTACTACAACTTCTACTAGTACTGAGGAATGTGACAGCTTCCTTCTCTCTGGGCTTCTGGCTGTAAGGGAGCCGGCACACATGGAAGAAAAATATATTTAAAAAATATTCTTCCCAAATATATTGACCTATATATGAAATGCTACAATTTTGGCCGTATTTAATATATTTCAATATATATATATATATATATATATATATACTGCATGTTGAAATGCAGTAAAAAAAACTGTGTTTCCATCCTCCAAATTCCATACCAGACCCAATTTAAAGGGTCAAAAACAAGGAAAAAAGCATTCATCTCTAATATCCATACCAGACCAGGAAAGTGAAGGAAAAGCGTGCCCCTCCTCCTGAACCATACAGGTCATATGCCTTCAACAAGGTGGGGGTACCTTGCCCCTGGCCGGGAATCCCCGGCTGACAGCTGAATAGGCTGGGTGGGGATATGTCAGAATGCTGGTGACCCCTCCCATATGGAAGAAATATATTTTTTAAATATTCTTCCCAAATATATTGACATACATTTGAATTGCTACAATTTTGGCTATATTCAATATATTAAAAAAAAAAAAAAAAAAAAAAAAAAAATATATATATATATATACATGTATATGCATGTTGAAATGCGTTTTAATTACAAAATATATGAAAAATATTTTAAAAACTACAGTTTAAATATAATGTATGTCTTTAAAAAAACAAATCTACATTTTTGGAATGCTTTTACAAATATATGTAAAAATATATTAAAATTAAAATGACTTTTTTATATGTTAAAAAAACCTGAAGAATATATATATATATATATATATATATATATATACTGCATGTTGAAATGCATTTTTTATATATTACAATATATGAAAAATATTTTTAAAAATATATATTTTTAAAATATATTCTTCAGATTTTTTTTAACATATACAAAAGTCATTTTAACATATATTTGGAAATGCATTCCAAAAATGTAGATTTGTATTTTTAAAGACATGCAGTATATTTGAATTGTACTTTTAAAAATATTTTTCATATATTTTGTAATAAAAACGCATTTCAACATGCAGTGTATATATATATATATATATATATTTTTTTTTTTAAATATATTGAATATGGCCAAAATTGTAGCATTTCAAATGTATGTCAATATATTTGGGAAGAATACTTTAAAAATATATTTCAAATATATGTTTCTTCTATATGGGAGGGGTCACCAGCATTCTGACATATCCCCACCCAGCCTATTCAGCTGTCAGCCGGGGATTCCCGGTCAGGGGCAAGGTACCCCCACCTTGTTGAAGGCATATGACCTGGTATGGTTCAGGAGGAGGGGCACGCTTTTCCTTCACTTTCCTGGGCAGGCTATATGCTCACATAACGGTCTGGTATGGATTTTAGAGATTAATGCTTTTTATCTTGTTTTTGACCCTTTAAATTGGGTCTGGTATGGAATTTGGAGGATGGAAACACAGTTTTTTTCTAACCACTTCCAGTCCGGACACTTTCACCCCCTTCCTGTCCAGGCCAATTTTCAGCTTTCAGCGCTATCACACTTTGAATGACAATTGCGCGGTCATGCAACACTGTACCCATATGAATTTTTTTGCATTTTTTTTGAGACAGATAAAACTTTATTTTGGTCGTATTTATTCACCACTGGGATTTTTATTTTTTTTTGCTATATAAATGAAAAAGTTCAAACATTTTCTTATAAAGTTCTTATAAAGTTTTGCAAATAAATAATCTTTCTTCATAAATCTTGGCCAAAATGTATTCATCTATCTTTTTAGTATATACATAGTTACATAGTTAGTCTGGCTGAAAAAAGACAAAAGTCCATCCAGTTCAACCATAGAAAAAAAAGTTAGTTTATAACCAAAAATTATAATTTTTTTAAAAAAAAGTTTACACTTATTTTTTTTTATATTATTATTATTTGTATTTTTTTTTTTACATACTGTCACCCTAGCAGTACAGTGTCACCATGGTGACACTGTACTACTTGTGGGGGGTGATGAAGATTTTTTTTTTTTTCACACACTGATTGCTTTTACACCCATAAAGTCTGTAAATTCAATAATTTCTCCTTCTCTCTAGCTGCATTCTTGCAGCCATTAAGAATACTGTGAGCAGGGGCGGACTGACCATTTGAGTACTCAGCACTGTCCGAGGGCCCAGGGTCTGTAGGGGGCCCCATGAATTGCCCCTGGTACCTTTTTTATAGGCTTTTTTGGGTGTGCTTTGAGTGTGGGCAAGGACACAGGGGCCCCATGATCCGCTATTGCCCAGGGGCCCCATGAGTTGTCAGTCCGCCCCTGACTGTGAGAGCTGTGATTGGTCACAGTTTGTCACATGCTACAAGGCTGTTGTGAATAGCCTTGTACCATGTGACCTCTATGATCATTCACAGTTTCACAAATAGTAAGCAATGATGTCAGAAGTGACCTCTTGCTTACTATTCATGTGATCACTGATTGGCCAATCAGTGATCACATGATCGGGACCTCGCACAGAGGTCCTGTACAGCGATCTGTATTCCGGCGCAATTTTACTTCAGCTAATTGCATTGCAGCAGATGTTTTTCCAGTCTTTTGAAGTGTAAATAGACAATGACTTACATGACCCTTATCACTGCCAAGTATTAACACTGACTGAGGGAACATGTCAGGAACATGCATTGGAACTCAGCTTTAATGTACATGTTCTCCTACCTAACATAGAACTAAAGGCATAAAATAGAATTCTAGCAGGCAGAGTTTAGTTTCGATTGTGCTTTATGCATTGACATACCTTCTTAGACCTAGTCTGTCCAGACAGCATGCTCACTTGCTGACTTGACACCATATACAGGCAGCTTAACTCTTCAATAAGACACAGAAGTTGAATCCAATGCAATTTTACTTCAGCTAATTGCATTGCAGCGGATGCTTTCCCAGTCTTTTGAAGTGTAAATAGACAATGACTTACATGAGCCTTATCTCTGCCAAGTATTAACACTGACTGAGGGAACATGTCAGGAACATGCATTGGAACTCAGCTTTAAGACTGTACACTCCTTGAGGGTTAGGGACTGATATGAATGTACTATATATATATATATATATATATATATATATATATATGGGTCATGGATTTGATTCCTGACCATGGTGCCTCCTGTATAGAGTTTGCATGTTCTCCCTGTCCCTGCGTGGAATTCCTCAGGGTACTCCAGTTTCCTCCCACACTCCAAAGACACGCTGGTAGGTTTATTGGCTCCTGTCTAAATTGTCCTAGTTTCACCCCTGGCCATGCGGGATCTCCTGCATGGTGGGGGTTGGGGAAAGACCTGGCAACCTTCCCTGTAAAAATAATTGCTAAGAGAATTCATGGAAAAAGTCGCTTACGAGTGACGGTCCATGCAATCGCCAAGGGTCGGATACGACTGAATGGATAGATAGAGATATGTGTGTGTAAAGCGCTGCGTAAATTGATGGCGCTATACAAGTACCTGTAATAAATAAATAAATATGTTCTCCTACCTAACGTAGAACTAAAGGCATAAAATAGAATTCTAGCAGGCAGCGTTAACACTGACTGAGGGAACATGGAATAAAGAGGGAGGGTCCAGCTAAGACTGAACTAACTAGCTTTAAACAGGGGGGGGGGGAGGAAAGAGGGAGGACCAAATCTTATAGGTAGACATAATGTAGTGGCTCAAAACCACCACTAGATGTCAGTATACTACAGAATAATAATAACCTGATGTAGTTGAATGCAACACAGAAAAATGACATAAAAGTAAAGCAGAACAGGCAGGCTCTTAACTGCAGAAGAGATTTGCCATGTTTCTTCTCCAATAAAACAAATTTACCTGTCTGTTCACAATCGGCAGCATGTGCAGCTCAGTTTCTTTTTTTTTTTCGCAGCACAGTGCCAATGTGCCAGGATAAACAAATCTTTTGGGTGCGCAGGAGGGACGTCAGCCAATCAAGATGGCCAAATGCCGGCATCCAGAAAAAGCCAAGGAGAAGGTGCCGGTGAAGGATCTTGTGGGCATCAGACCATTAGAGCAGAGGTAAGTATCTCTGCCTGTAGTTCCACTTTAAAGTCCATCTAAAACTAAATGTCTGTCTAAGACAGGGGCGGACTGACCATTCGTGCATGCGGGCACTGCCCGAGGGCCCGGGGTCAGTAAGGGGCCCCATGAGATGCCCCTGGTACCTTTCATTGTTTTTTTCATAGGCTTTTTTGGGTGTGGGCAAGGACACGGGGCCCCATGATCCCCTATTGCCCGGGGGCCCCATGAGTTGTCAGTCTGCCCCTGGTCTAAGGCATACAGTAGATGGCCGACTGTCCCGGGTTTGTCTTGCAATGCTATGTGCCCCGCCAAAAAAGGCAATTGTGGCGATAAGGGCCATGGTGGGGCTGTCTTCACATATATAGAGGTCAGCCTATATAGTGGGTTCAATTGGTGGTACTCTCAAATTTAAAGGCAGGATCCCCCATAAGGTGGGCATGATTTGGGGGCGCCCGACTAGAAGATGGCAGGATGAAATGTGGGATATGAGCAGCGTTAACAGTATCCTGGGACCTGGGAACATAATGTTGATAGGTATTCTAAGACTACCTTATCCACATGGTGACAACACGGCTGTGAGATTTCACTGCAGAATGAATAGCGTTGTCACTCTGAAGTGTCTTTTTAAAAGTGTAGCACGTTCAAACGAAATTGATCGATCTGCCATAAATCCAGTGAGCTCCTAGCTTCCTGTAGTGAGGTGACAACTCTGCTGCACTGAAATTCCAAATGTGCTGTTAGTCCTGCCTGGGTTCTCCTCTTCTGGACTACAGAACACCTCTCTCTTTTGTTGCATAGGTGAGAGCAGTGGTGTCTTTAGGTTTTTTGCTGCCCTAGGCAACACAAAAATCAGGCGCCCCCCTGACGAAGATAGCCTAACACCGACCAACACCCCTCCCATTAACAGAGAGAAAGACACTTTCACAGCTCCGGACATCCCCAGAAATGTGAGTCGGGCTCTGCATACACCATCAAGCAGCCCGTTGCCTCTTTTGGATCCCACCTGGTCCCCATGCTGAATATGTCCCTTTTTCCTGGGGGGGTGGTGCTGCCCCCCTGAAAAAATGCCACCCTAGGCAAATGCCTTGTTTGCCTTGTGGTAAATACGCCCCTGGGTGAGAGGAGGAGGGGTTACGGAGATGAGGAGAGGGAGGGGTTATGGTGATGAAGAGGAGATGTTCTGAAGTCCAGCAGAACTGCATGAAATTGAGTCAGATGCAGGGGTGGACTGACAACTCATGGGGCCCCCGGGCAATAGGGGATCATGGGGCCCCTGTGTCCTTGCCCAAACTCAAAAAAAGCCTATGAAAAAGGTACCAGGTGCATCTCATGGGGCCCCCTACTGACCCCGGGCCCTCGGGCAGTGCCCAAGTTTCCAAATGGTCAGTCCGCCCCTGGTCAGATGATAACTTCCTGTAATGAGATGAAAACTTTGCCGCACTGACATCCCGACAGCGTTGTTAGGACTGCTTCGCTTGACTACAAAACACCTCCCTCTTTTGTTGTGTAGATGAGAAGAGGAGGAGAGGTTGTGTAAATGAGGAGAGGGAGGTGTCATGGAGAGAGGAGGGAGTTCTGTAGTCCAGCAGAAGAGAACTGCTAAAAATACAGCCAGTTTTTGTAATGAGCTGACAACACACAGCCTCAGCTGCACAGAAATCCCAATTATTATGTTGTCAGCTCATATACGGAGTAAGGTGCTCACTGGATTTCTGACAGATTGGGTAGTTGTGGGGACTTGCAGTATTTTTAACCATTCGCCCTCCAGAGGATTCCCCCCCCCCCCCCCCCCCGACCAGGCCATTTTTTGTGATACGGCGCTGCGTTACTTTAACTCACAATTGCACGGTCATGCAACAACGCTGTATATTAATGACATTTACGTCCTTTTCTCCCCACAAACAGAGCTTTGCTTTGGTGGTATTTAATCGCCTCTGCGGTTTTTGTTTTTTGCGCTATAAACAGAAAAAGACCGGCAATTTTGCAAAAAAAAAAAAACCGCAATATTTTTGACTTTTTGCTATAAAACATATCCAGTAAAAAAAAATGTAAAAATCAAATTTAGACCTAAATGTATTCTTTGACATGTCTTTGCTAAAAAAAAATCCCAGTGCGTGTAAATTAATTGGTTTACATGGAAGTTATAGCGTTTACAAATGGCGGTATAGATATAGGAATATTTATTTTATTTATTTTACTAGTAATGGTGGTGATCAGCGACTTATAGCAGAACTGCGGCGGGCATTCTGACACTGGGGGGGGGGGGGGGGGGGGGGGGCTGACTAACTGGCACTGACATCTCCAGTGACACCAATACAGTGCTAATAAAAAGAACTGACTCTGTACTAATGGCACTGGGCAGGAAGGGGTTAACATCTGGGGCGATCAACGGGTTAACTGTGTGCTGTGTGTCTGTTTAACATTGTGTGCTGTGTGTGATTTACTGGGGAGAGAAGCTGCTTTGCATGGCTCTACTGTGCAGAGCCATAGGAAGCAGCCTGTTTGTGCTGTCAGGGGATGGATCTGTGTTGTTTACACACAGACCTCTCCCCTGTCAACTCCACCTCTGATCACCAAGTCCTGGCTGAGAATCGGTGGCCGGGACCCAGTGAATGACATGCCGAGGAGCCAGTAACAGCGCGGGTAGGGAGCGCATGTGTGCAACTGCAAAATTATGTACATATTTATTTATTATTTATTTCAGGTACTTATATAGCACCATCAATTTACGCAGCACTTTACATATATATTGTACATTCACATCAGTCCCTAACCCTCAAGGGGTGTACAATCTAAGGTCCCTAACTCACATTCATACATACACATACTTAGGGCCAATTTAGACAGGATCCAGTTAACCTACCAGCATGTCTTTGGAGTGTGTGAGGAAAGCGGACTACCCGGAGGAAACCCATATATCTCATTTTGTGCATCCCTGCTGCCCTGTAGCAGTACTTCTGCTATAGGACAGTCGGGAAGCCGTTAAAAAGTATAAAACACAGGGAAATACATGCACGGCGTATGCGAGACATACTAAATTTGACGGGAAATAGTGCACTCGCTCACTGTACTTGTATCTATAGAAGAGCAGCATTGCCATCTTCGGACAGGAATGTGCTAGGACTACAGAAGCCTCCCCTCCATCTCTATAACACAAATGGGGAGGTGTTCTGTAGTTCACCGAGGATAATGAACAGGTCAGATAATACTGCTTGAGATGACACTGTGGAGTGTACAGGAAACAGGATAGCAGAAAAACAAACCAAAGTTTTGATCTTCAGATGTTTCTAGAAGCTGAAGAAATCCTCCCCTCCGGACAACATATTTTGACAGCGCTGAAAGCTGAAAATTGGCCTGGA